ACAGTTTTTGACTTACATACTTTCGGATTTTTACCAGGTCTTATTGATGCTTTCTTAAAGATATAGGCAAAGTTTCAGCTCAATACAAAGATCAAAAATGAGTTCGTTAACTCGACATATATGGAAATATTTTGTGTACCCATTTATATCAAACAGCGAAGACGAACAAGTATACGAAATGTTTCTAACATTTCTGGAAAGTTAATATCTTCAATCGTAATACATCAACAAAAAATGTTCTGCATAATTAAAATGCAGAAATTCAGAAATAAAAAAGGAAGACAATTTATTGTACACGCCTTGCAATAATAGGGATTAAATACAGTATTATTTAATTATGTTATTCTTTAACCTGGTCCATGCCTGGCTTTTTTTGATGCCATTGATGCTTTTACAGTGGATTCAAGTTTTGTAAAAAAAAAAAAAAAAAAAAAAAAAAAAAAAAAAAAAAAAATAAGATCGTTCCGATTATATAGCCCTGCTGCCACTCAGCCTGTGACTTGATTCAGCATCACTCTACCATTTTAAAGCTCTTGCACAACATCATACGTCGGGGATGCTCTTGGTTTTTTCCAGTGAACGATATGTTTTATTTCAATAGACAATTCTTCTTCTTTTAGCACTAGGAATTTTATTTTTATAAAATGTATTTTATTTAACAAAACGCTTAACTGCGTCTTTTACGTCTAATTATTTCAACTGCATCGACTATCAGCACCAAACTTTCTTTTAATTTTCAAGGGCATCTCAGAGCCAAAAAAGTAAAGATCCTCCATCTTTCGTACACGCGACATCGCAACATAAAGCTGACCATATGAGAGCATGTTGTCTAAATGAATGCCCACACAGTCAAGTTGTAGCACTTTGAGCCTTGTGTATAGTGGTGGCAAAGGCTGGGACTATAGGGAACTGAGTCCCTGCAATAGCTGGTGTTGGAACCTGGCGGCTGATGCGTTGAATCCAGTAGATGACATCGTTTCCATTGGGTAATCGCTTTCGTAGACAGATGATTTCCTCCTCCATATACTCAATTTGAGCGATCGTAGCCGTTCACCCATCCAGTTGGTACGTGAAGGTTGTGTATCAGCATAACCGGCATTTGAGGCTTGAGCAGCAAAATCTCCAACAACCTTGTTTCCCGTAACGCCATTTTTGCAGTTCCTTTGTTACCAACATGATTATCTACAGACCGGTATTCTTGACCCTCACCAGGAAAACTCGCAAAATCCTTTTCGTTGGCACTTGTTACACGTTCCCGAGTAGTGTACAGACGCAGGCAGGAAAGGGGAAAGCTGAGACTTGTGAACAGTTCTTTTGTTTATAAAATCGATCACTGACTCATCGAACTGATAATCTCGAACCTTGTTAAGTATGCCAATGAAATATTCATCTTGTTGTCGAACAGGGTCATGAAGAGAATAGCGAGGTACAACGTTGAAAATTTCAGATTCCCAGATTTTACCCTCCTTTGTTTGAATGGGAAGCAATTGCGCAACATCACCAAAAAGAATGGTTTTGACACCGCCCATAATTGTAGCTCTTTGCGTAGTCTTGACCAAGGCATCGTTGATTGCTTCAAGCAGTTTTGAGCTGATCATTGAGTACTCGTCGATTAATAGCAGAATCTTGGGATACATCTTGACATATTGGTCCAGAATCAAAAAGTTTGGGACAGCAGATGTGTTGGTGAGACCAAAAAAGCGATGGATGGTTTGACCGGATATGTTGTGAGCTGCTACACCGGTTGGTGCTAACTTAAAAACCTAACATTATAAAGGATACAAAAATATGGGTAACGTTTCCTTTGATAATTTGTTTTTTCTGGGTGATCGTTACCTTAAATCCCTCAAGCTTGTAATTTCTTTCCCGCATTCTTAGGACAAACGATTTTCCAGTTCCAGCAGCTCCTGAAACAACAGCAGTTGAATTGAGTTCTAGCTCTGTAGTGATCTCAGCAAAGATACTCTTCTGATTGCGGTTTGCCATGCCATGCATCACTGCGAGTTCATCACGACAAGCATCCAACCCTCTTTCGATATCAGCAACATCGTCCAAAGATTCAATGTTGACCCGTCTATGAGCTTCAATAGTGCCTTCATTGAGTAAATGCTCGTAGAAGTCTACGTAATTGTATTATTAGTCAAAGTTTCACTTTTTTATTATGATCTCATTATTTACCTTTATATGTACCAAAAGGCCGCATTTTGTCTTCGTATGTTGTACCAATTATCGGAAGCTTCAAAACAATTTGCTGATAATAAAAGTCTCTCCATTTGTCTCGCTTTGGTTATACGTTCTCCAAAAAGAAATTTTATCTTTAACGAGTTTGTAAATTAAACGTCGAAAAGCACACTACATATTCAGGCAAAGGGTCTGGGTGGAAGGGACGTGTTACCATTCCTCTAGGAACAGTTCTCATTTGTTTGTAGACTCTCTTGTAAAAACTAAAAAACTGGGGCATGGTAAGATTTTCAGCACCATTCCGTTTCTCGTACAATTCTAGGAGAAAAAAAAGTTAGCTTTATAAATAAAAGACTACAAGTTATTACTTACCAACAGGAGTCATGGAGTAAATTTGTTCGTCTTCAGGTTCCAAATCCTTCACATCGTCCCGCAAGCGCCTAGTGTCCTGACCCATGAGGTTTGTACTTAGGAATAGCACGTTTCTGGAATTGCTGTGCTTTCTCCAACCCATCAGATCATATGTTGCCTCGACAGCTCCTACAATTCTTGTGGAATAGTGCTCACGTTCGGAAACGTATGTTGTCCTTTTGTAATAGCCTTGGTTTTGAACTTGAATATTTTTTAAAATAATTTTTGCTTCATAATCGTCTTTGGCTAAATATTTCGCAAGGTACCGAACTGCTTGAGGTCCATCGTTGTATTGAATGTCCATCGACGTTTTAAAGACGGCCAAAAGATAGGGATTATAGTTGTTAACATATGCATCACCGACATCGCGCTTGTACGTACAACTATGTTCTGAGTCAAGAACGGTAGCAGGAGAATACGGTTTAGGGTAGCCAAAACGACACTTCTTGGTGGGATCACCTCTCTTACAATACCTGTAATGAGAGTTAAGTAGTTAGTAAATGATGTTTATTGCTAGTAAATTTGAAAAAGAAAGATTACCTATCATTACACTTATGAAGTTGCAACTTGTTGACTAAATCATACATTAAAGGATCGGCCGAGCGTGGATGTGGAAACCAGGTATGAACAACATTCATATCAATTAGCTCTTGAACAGACTTGTTGGTCCAAAGCACCAAATGGATATGTGGGCTTCCACGGTCTTGAATCTCCATTACCCAACTATGTTCCTTGATGCCTCCGATTTGCCTAGCAAAGTGCTTGCAGATGTATACCGTAAAAAATTCAAGCCATTTTCTTTTAAAGTGTTGAGAGAATAATACAGGATCATCCCACGCGAATTGAGAACCATCACGAAGAATACCTTTGAAATCCTCGCTTTTGTCATCGCAAGTAAATGTAAGAAAAAGCTGAGGGGCACCAAGATTATCAAATATACATTGGAGGTCCAAAAAGTTTTTTCTTTTGTATGCATAAGATGAACGTATTTGAGAAGGTACAGTAGACACAATATTTTTGTTTAGTTTTCCAGTTGAAGGGTTCACTACATCCGCTTGCTTCAAGTTGCTTCTGCCCTTAGTAGACACCACAAATCTGTTTGCTGATGCTATGTTTTTCTTTTCGATCAAGTCTAGCATAAAAAAAAGAAAGGATGGATCCCTTGCAAATCTTCTGTCTTGAATCAATAATCTTTTTTTAGTATAACTTGTAATACTTTCAGACATCATAGTAGCTACAGAGACACCCCCTTGGTTTTCAGGCAGACCATAGATACCAGAGCGGTCAGAGAACTCTGGTAAGTTTTGAGGAACCATAGAATAATGTCCGGTACAAGTGGTATAAAGATACGGGAACAGGAGAGCTAACAGACTTGGATGAGAATAGCGAATCATTTTTCCCACATTATCTTCACCGATAATCAAGTCCTTAAATTCGACGTCAGATGCTTGTGGATTTACGTCTTCATTGGCAAAAAGTGCATTGTTCAACCAGCCTTTGTCAATATCAACATGTCTTTTGTTTTCGGACACATGGTAATTTACCAAAGAAAAAGTCAGCTTGGGTAAATCATAACGAGACAGCAAAGGATGTGTTGCTTGGAGTGCTTTGTATGCATCTTCGACATTCTTTTTTCTAATCATTGCTGGATCACCACGGACAAAAAACAAACTCAAAGTACCACCGTAAGCCATTTCTGCAAACTCGTAGTTGTGAGTGGTATACATTGGACCCTTGACCTCAAAATGACCAATTCTTCCATGAGTCAAAGTAGATTTTCTGGTTATTTGAGACATAAGCTTGATGGGCGACAAAACTGATCTTTCTCTATAGTTCAAGTTCTTTGTTTCGGGTGCAAGATCACCTAAAGTTTAGATACATATTAATAACGCATATACTTGAAAAAAAAAATAGCAATTGTATACTTTACCAGGATAAACCATTTTCAAGCTTACAAAATCTTCTTCGGGTGTGTTGACATGAGACTTGCAAACCATTTTTTTGGCTGGATCCTCAGAATCACAAAGAGGTTGTAACTTCCAAGACAAACAGGGCAAGTTGGTTTCATCTTCAAAAGTTCTAAAACGTCTTTCTTCAGGGTACAAAACCTTCAAGCAAAGACAGCAGAAGCCATCCGGTTTTTCCATGATAAAGTCTTGGAACCTTTTAACTTGATTCTTCTGGGCATTGGTGAAGGATGATAAGTTGTTGTTGCCTACACGGAAACTGTAAAACATTGCTGCGTATTGAAGTAAAAAAAAAAAAGGATATATGAATCAGGGAAGCAAAAAAACCCATTCGTATTTATATGCAACCTGTTGTTGCGGATAGTTACATAATTGGAAAGGTTGCAATTATCAAAAGGATGGTTACACAAATGAACAAAAAAAAACTTTATTTTTTCTAAATTAGCTTTCGCTGCTAGTATCTTCACGCTCATCACTGATAATATCAGAATCCCTGAATGCGGTCGTGTCATTCAAAAGGGTATCATACCCAAAGGAGCGATCATCCCAAGAGTCTTCCAATCTCTTACAGCTGTTATTGTAGCTATAGATTGTTTTCATGACCCGAGGAACAGGTCTGTTGGTATTGGGATCAGATTGGGGTCGAGAGATTCTTTCCTCCACGAAAACGGGGTTGTAGTTCTCTACAATCAACCCCTTGGATACTACAAATATAAAGTAATTTTTTTAAAAATGTGAGATGACACATATATATATATATATTTGAAAGCATAAATTAGTTTACCCAGGTCCTCATACATATCACTAAGCTGAAGGGCAAATGCCTCAGAATTCAGCCCCCTGTTGATTACAACGTTTTGATCTTGAATGTTCTCCCAGACATGTTTATATACCACAAATTTCATTTTTAAAAATTGGTGGGTTCTTTGGAACTCCTTCGTTCTTACTCTTTTTGCAAGTGTTGGGATGATCTCTCCATCATCATCAACCTGAATTATAGGCTTCGCGTCAGTTACACTGAGCCTGATGTTTGCAAAGGCTCTGGTGCTGTCATCGAACGTATAGGCCGATACATTCAATGAGCCTATGAATTTTCATTTAATTAATCATCTTTTAAAATATATAAATCAAACTTACCGACAAAGTGGTGGCGGGAGCCAACTGCACCAAACCTAATAAAGTAGAACATTAAAGCAGGGTGAGAGGTGAAAAGTTTAATTCGTACACCGGAATCAATGCATTTCGATTCAAGTACAACGGTTCTTGCATTGACACGAAAAATGGGAGCGGAAGAAATAATAGCGTCAGTGGTTTCGCCTACAAGCATTTGAGATAATTTTTTTTTGTATACAGTGATTCAGATTCAAATTCATAGCCATATTTATAGTTTTTTAACATCTGTATTTGACGCGACGATAATCAGGGACTGCCTGTCAGTGATTAAGGATTTCTATAGTTAGGGATTGGGGATTAGATTGGGGATCGGGAAAATCTAAAATAGTACATTGTACATCAGATACCCACCCATAATCTCAGATTTTTGCATCAAAAACAGGTTGTAGCTTTAAACTTTGACTACAAATATGCCCTCCGGTGTCAATGAATAATGGCTTGTATCAGAGTATCACTGTCAATTGTGGGCAACAACACCAAACTGTTTTTGCGAATAGTATAATTACCATGATTCATACTAAAATAATTACTCCGCAATATAAACGGTACCTTTTTTTGTATACAAATATGTTACTGAAGCGGCTATTTCCTGTTAAGCAGTAACAGCGCTACAGAATATGTAAAGCAGAAAAAGGAAAATTCCGGTTTCACGAATATGGGAGAGGTAACACAACAGAAAAACCACCTCCGATTATTAATGACTTTTGTAGTATTATTACAAAAGCTGATATTCGACATTGTGGACATAACCAATAGATTTAAAAGGAGTAAAACCAATTGTTCGATCAAGCTACATTTTAAACAGTGTAATAATCGAACTTGGTATTTTTAGCTGTGTAAAACCATCATAGATGACATGGTGCTGTCGGTCAGTGAAATTATGTCACATGAGTTTTTTGACAGTCAAGGAATCACCCCAATATAGTAAAAGCCATCAAAATTATTTGTTTCTGTAGTTTATTTAAGCTTTTTGACACTCAATTTTAAACAATGGCGGGCTAATTTAAGTTTTACCATTTTTAAACAAAAAGACCGCCTCGTTGTTTATCATCCTGGGAACATGGCGAAAAATTAAAGAGAAATCGCTGTTACTGAAAATTAGATTGGGTGCACCATCCTTTACATATATGTAACAAAAGAAGCGATTGCTATAGACCGTATGAACGATATATATTACATAAGACTTGTGTTATTTGATGCGTTATTTATCATTTCAAATTATTTATCAATAATTAACCGCCGCCAGTTCCACAGTACATCACTTACGATTGAAAACTTGTGATTCAAAATATACATTCCCGCATTACATCTTTTTCCGACAAAGAAAAAAGCGGAGGATTAAAGTAAATAGATAAATTTGTTTACACGATCATGTAGTTGATGGGTTCGAGACTCTAATTGATACATGCCCGAATGAGCTGACACAATTACAAGACTTGGAAAGAAGCTGAGTTTTAGTTGATGTAATTCGGAATAAGACATATTTGCAGCATTGACTTTTTTAACTGTTACACAAGTATAACCAATGGAAGTTGTCCTTTCTAAATATATGGCATCGAGAGTTTTACATGCGAAGCTACAAGTCATAAAGACGAATCGGATATATCTTAATTTGTACAAGCTGCAATGCTTCTAGGCTACCGGTACATCGCCTGAATTTGAAATATAAAATGTTCCGTTACCAAGCTCAAAACGACTGGTACATTAATATCATAAATATAATATAGAAACTACAATCAATGCAATCCGTCATAACTTCATCATTTGTTGGTGTATTTTTTCCACACTCAATGGAGTTAGATAACACAAGCGAAAACATGTATTTTTTACTATATGAGCCTTATACTGCGTAAGTTCCTTACCTATTTAAAACTTTTACGGATAGTTACATGTACTTTTTAAAAACGGATGTTATAATACATAAACATATGGCATTTGTTTTGTTTGTTATCAAAACCACACTCAAAAGCATAGGTCTGACTTGACGTTTTGTTTTTATTTCAGTAATTATAGCGTGAAAGTAATTGCCAGTATGAAATTAGTTAAAGACATGATTCAAGGGTATGATAACGAGTGGACTATTGCTTCAAGAAGTGAAAGAAAATCTCCATTAATTTTACTTGCTACCGGTGTTATGAGCCAACAACCTGCCGCGAGAGCTTTCTTGGGAAGAATTGTTGAAGAGAAATTTCATATGCAGGCACTTGCTTTAACAATTATACCAGCGATCCCGCTTGTTCCCGAAAGATTAAAAGAAATGGTCCATCCTGAGTTAGCGCCTGTTAATTTAGGAGATGGTGTAAAAGAAGGATATTTTTATGTAAATCTATCAACGGGCCAGGATTTTACAAATGGCCCTGAATTTTATGACAACGCTGCTAACGACGACGAGCTTGGTAAAACAAACAGTCTGTTAAAATTAATAAGTCTTATATATCTAACATGTATTATTTACTCACTATAATAGGTGAATATGAGAGGGAAATTTTAGAGGGCGCCCAGAGAAGAAACCAAGAAGCTCGCGGTGATGATATCGAAATTCCTGATAACCTAGGGGACAATGAACCCCGAGCTCATAATCCTTATTACACTGATGAAGATGAGCCATACGCACCTCCTGATAATTTTTTTTATACCAGACGTATGTCTGACTCTAGTGCAGAAGAGCATACGGAGAACCAAAGCCGCGAAAATATGGCTGAAGAGTTTTTGAGAAACATGCAGGAGAACGCAAACCGTACTAGGGGTTATAAAAACAATAATTTCGCAAACACGTCTGAAGGTGGTAAGTTAAAAAAAGAGTCTTTGAACGCATAGACTTGCACAATTGTTTTTATTAACTTTAAACATTAGACATTGAAAACAGTGAGCTTGAAGAGACAATTATGCAAACTAGGACAAATCTACCGAGTAACCCTGCAAGCCATGCTGTCAGAAAAGATGGTAACATTAATGCGAGAAAATAAATGTCATAAGCAAATTAAGACCAAGCCTTTAGAAAGACTTACTTCAATAATTCTTTTCATTTTAAATTAGGGCACCACCAAGATGCAGTAAGAACCAGTAGTACTACCCAACAATCAAATACACCACAAAGTCACGATCCCATGGTAGGAAGTAGCAGAAGCGCTATGGCTGACTTTGCGTACACTAGAAATGATTCATTTGCATCGGATTTTTATGCTGCTGGTTCTGATTTTCCTTTAGATAACGATTTTAGAAATTTATCCAATCCGATTGTTGAAGGTTAGTGTATTAATTAAACGACTCAGTTTCTACTTTATCATCATATTGAAACCATAATTTTTGAATTACCTCAGATAATACCACTGATATTGAACATTACGACGACATGTCTACAGACGATGATAACGCCACGACAATCCCTTCGAAACGCAAACAGATTATATCAAAGGTACATTATTTATTCGCAAGTGAAACAATAAAGGAAAGCATTGTATTGACTTTTTTGGGTTGTAAAGGGTAAAGAAAAGCAAGGTTCCAGATCAGTCACATTAGCAGATAAGGAAACTGCAGAGAATATCAGTGATAGAAGTGATGATGAAGACACGGAAGTAAGAGGAAGAGGGCGACCTAAACTTTCACAAAAAGAAAAAGAAAGAAGAGCTCGAGAAGCCCCACAGACAAAGAAGCCTCGAGGTCGACCACGCAAATCTAGAGATGTCTCTACTCCTATTAGAATGGGCGGTATAGACTCATTTTTTTCTAATCACACTGATAAATAAAATAAAATATTGATACCGTAGAATCTAATAATATTTTTTACATAATTGAGAAAAAAACACAACTAACAACTACACATATCCATCGTCATCACCGCTTACAAAATAGTAGTAACAGCATCGCATTTACTGAATCAAAAGTAGCAATTTTTACAAGTCCCCACACCAGTCCCAGATGCTTACTCAAATATATAGACAAATACAACCATGACTCTCGCTCTCATATACTGTAGTTGAATATATTTCTGATACCCATTTCTTTTTTTTTTCTAAGCGTTTCGAATGTCACAAAAGAGATATTTTGAAGTCTTCTATTCGTCGTGGTAATCATTTGATAAATTGTGTGTCTATTGTTCCAATTTTCCACTACTCGCGTAATGCAATATGACCATGGTATACTGTAATTGTACAAAGAATTGAGTAAAGTACCCAGGAAAATAAAGCTACTACCTATTATCATATGCAGTCCTGAAAATATATATGTATCAATCGTAAACTCATTTCAACAGTTCCGAATTTACTGTTCATCTTACAAGGGCATTCTGCCACACAATGTTGTTAAACATGTTTACAAGTAACATGTGCTTAATTTTAAAGTGGATTTAAAGAGGGTGTTATGTGACAAAAAAAAAAAAAAAAAAAAAAAAAAATATGGCAATAGCTAAAAGAGTAGATATCGTCGTTTTTAAGCACAAGCCGCGTTTGCGGGCTGTTAGTCATAAAAAACTAGCCAATCATTATTTTTTTTTGATTTTTTGGCTGTGATTACCTCTTTTGGGCGTTGTGTTCAAAAAACCATTCATCAATCTTTAAAAATCAAAATAAAATATTTTTAAGAGACAACCCTATTTTTTTTTAAATATATAGCAGCAATAGTATCTTTTTATCCAAGATAAAAAAATCGTATTTTTCGTCAAGCAAAAAAGAGGCACAAAAAAAATATAAAAAAAATACCTCTCAAATTTCTTGAACTTTTTTATTTTTTCGAGGATTTTTTTCAAATGAGGAAGGTGATGGTTACATAAAAACCTAAAAAAGGAGATTTTTTAAGCGTGTTTTGGAAAATAACTAATAATATGTAAAAAAAAAAAAAAAACTTTGTACAAACTTCAACACGTTTACAGCGAGTTAAATCATTTCTACCCTGTCCACGAGGAGCAAATAACAGGAATAGCCAACTACAAAGCCCTAGTTATAGCAAAATTTGATAAGTAAATATCTTCTATTCAATTAAGCTTTTGAATTTTTATATACGCATATTCTTGTTTCAGTTTGTTTTTTAATATATAAAATTATATAAACCAACATACTAAATTGATACATCAAGATAGAAGCAATAATAGTCAGACTGAGTTTTAGCATTTCAAAATAATATCTCTGACAGATAAACCAACACATAGAACGGATTCTACAATACTAACTGTATAGACGTTGAAATGTTTTGCATACAGGAAATAACAGTATTACGTACGGCTTTTATAACAGCTACTGTGTGTAAAAATGTTGTTTTTGCTTATCGGGTGAAACCTAACGTGAGATAGTTAATTAGAACAGCCAATGACACGAAGCAAAAAGTTAACAATTTATTCTACAGATAGTCACTGTTGATATGGCTTATGTTAACGTAGTAACTTATTAAAGTGCCTGTTAATGTGTAAAAGAATTCGAATTAACGTTTCTTTGGCACTTTTCTCAAGATAACATTACATACGTAAGGGAAATAAACTAATACAAAAAACTAAGAGAAGTTAATTACATTACTGGAAAAAAAAGTAGCGGCCTAGAGGCAAATATGATAAAGTTCCTTTCAAAAGAATAAAAATGTATGTCTAAAATGTAACTAGTACACCACGGATAACAGGCAACTCAGCTCTTAATCCAAAATTCGCAAAAAAACTCATGACGACAAAACACTCAACCTTAATGTGCAAAACACACCTAAACTTGAGCAAGTACAGCACCTAATTCAAATCGAGTGCAATCAACTATTTAAAATTAAAGAATAGTAAGATAATCATTAAAAATAAAAGCGCCAATAGCTCGTACTAGTTGTCATTATCGAACATCATAACTATTAATTTTTGGGGAGAACCAGATTGCTAAATAATTAAAATAAAGATACTGATGCTTTTGTGACAAATTTTATTCTTTCGATTTTATTATTCATCAAACTATTAAAAAGGGAAGCTCGCTACAACAACCCAGAATCGTTGAAGTCATAAAATGGTTTTGCTTTATGATTACTTTAGACCATTAGTCGACGGGGTTTATAGAATCAGTAATTCACTGTCGAAAAGTGACTATGAATCTTTGGTTATAGCAGCCTAAAATGCGGCTGCATTGGGTGGTATTTAAATAATCTTTTTTTCTGATAATGCCCTCAATTATCGTGTTAGCTGTATGTGCATGCTTATAAAAGTTGAATCTGGGAGCGAGTAAATCTCATACAACAAACGTGACAAATCCGCATTGTATGCACCAACTTAACGAGGAACAAGTAAATTAGATAAATAATGACGTTCGTAACAAAGTCTATTTATAAATTATGACAGATATGTTGTAAAACCTCTCATTATTTTTCTAACAATATGCAAAGCGACTTCCCAAATTACTGGTTTTTTCGTCTTTGCCTAACGGGAATACATTTCAAAATAACAGTATTGAAGATTCGTAATGTCGTATGCAATTCAAAGCCATGTTATAATATCAATATTTCCAATAACTTTGATAATCGTAAATTAGGGGCAACAATATTAAAAAGGATTTTACATCTTGAAAACTATGTTGGTTTAATTAGGGATGTCAACTTTGTGAAATGTCGAATAGAAAAGTTTGTGTTCTGAACAGAACTTTCATTTACTTCATGTACAAATTATTCGCAATCAGCTTATAAATCAACTGTATACGTTCACAATTTCCAAACGTCTTCAATTTTCGTACCGGCATCAATATAAATCACAAACGAAGTAAAATATTCTCTATTGCAACTATATTAATGATATGCCTACTCATAGTAACGTTTATATAGTGATGCTTTGAGTGACAAAATTTAATGATTATACTTTATATAGAGGGATTCTACCAGGGCTAGAGGGTGATGATGTTTGTGGATGTTACAATGGGCAATCAAAAAAGCTGTGTAAACATAAGCAGTGCAATACAAATAAAAGTCAATATATATTTAAGCCATTCAATTAGTAATTAAACGCTTAAACGTCCATAAATACAAGTTGAAATTTACCATAGCTATAAAACATACTAAACTGCAAATACACTTAAGATGATCTTAAGCCTCAATACACACTCAAGAGCAATAACCTAAGACACTTTAAATTGCATTATTTTGACAGCCTTTTTAATGATTATTTATACCGATTAAAAAAGTGCAATAAATTGCTGCCTGTGATTTTAGCCAATTTTATTATATTTCATATAACGATTTCTCTACGTTATAACTAAATCATTTTCCTCTCCCTTCTTCACGGCAACTTACGGCAATGTTTGACAGCTGGTGAACTTTCGCCTTATCTTTGTAAAAATATATTACGAGGGAGTAAAAAAATGTGTAGATGAATAAGAAAAGGAGACTGTAAAGACTTAAAGATTTAAATACACAGACAGTTGTAGGAGAGATTTGCACTAGTAAGCTAAGGAAATCTGCCAAAGTAGTTATCTCGAGGAAATATGAAGAACTTCCAAAAATAAGACTAAGAATAAGATTATTTTTTATTGATTTACAATTTTAATGCTATTTTTATAGCTGTCAAATTTAACCCAAAATCACCCAAGAAAATTAAACCATAACTATTTACAGAATCAATTATCCGGATATCATCCTGAGATATAATTTTAACGGATAAATCATACGCGTTCCCAGATAGACCAAAAATAGACTTAACATACAGCAAACAGGGTACTCGAACGGTAATAGCGGTATTTACCAAAGTAATCATAACACAAGAATGTAAGAATAAAATATTTACCCTCAGAAACAATCCCCACCAGGGTTCGAATTCAGAACACCTTAGAAACTCCAGCCAATACGATAACCTGCACGTGGATATCACGTGACTAAAAGATGTAATGTTACCCGCGACATAATTAAAACACAAAAATAACAGATTGTCAGAACCAATCCAGCCAATGAAATAGTTCCGGCACAACAGCCCGGCACCGAGAACTACTATGACGCAATGGAACTCACAAGACCCAAACGAAGGTTTAAACCAAAGGTCACGAAAGCAAGACCAAACAAGAAATCAAAACTATATGTCATAAGAACAAACAAGCAAAGCCATAAACTAATTTAGCATAAAACAATTACATACATATGAAACATCAATCAAATTAGATAGTATAAATAACCCCAGATTATAATTAATAAATCTTTATCTTTTATCTCATACTTTATTTTGTACTTGTACTTTGAAGAGTACTCTTCTGGCCAATAGGAATAGGTTCACGTGATAGTCACGTGTTAGGTTATTACGTAAGGGTCAACTAGACATCTGAGGATTACAATTGGTAGCACCAGGCGTTCAAAGGGAAACAAGAATTAATATGGCTGAAAATCAAGAGGCTAAGGCGTCATACAATGACATGGCAGATTTGGTTAATAACTTGGCAAAACTGATGCGAGAAGTGAACAAGAACAAAAATATAAAAGCAAAGGAACCTGATGACTATTATGGTGACCGTGATGCTGTAAAAATCGATGGGTGGATCTCTGCTGTTGAAAACTATGCTCGTGTTCAAGAAATGAAGGACGACGAAACTGGTACTTATGCTATAGGACTACTCAAAGACAAGGCTGACACTTGGTACCGAACGATTGAAAAACCAAGAGATGGCGAGGCTCCTCTTGGCTGGTTAGAACTAAAACGAGCTTTAATCGATTTTTTCTGTCCTGAAAACTCCGAACTTATAGCAAGAGACAAAATTGCGAAGCTACAGCAAACAGGTGACTTGAACTCTTACATCAATACTTTTATGGATTATAAATTAGCTATCAAAAACATGACAGATGATGAGGCATGTGACAAATTCATGCGCGGATTGTCAAACGTAAACACTGCCGCTTACGTCCGACAATACTACGATGGTACCCTCAGAACTGCAGCTAAATCAGCACTTACATTTGACAGCGCTCATCATCAAGAAACACTGTTTAGACCTCCAGCCCGTCATCCTGTTGTTAAAACTTACATTGACGACCCAATGGAGTTGGATTGGATTGACAATCGCCAACAAAATAATAGGTACAACAGAAACAACGGTGGTTCCCGAAATGGAAATAGTCGTGGTGGCTACAACAACAATAGGTCGCGTGGTGGTGGAAATTCAAACTCCAATGCTGTATGTTTTTTCTGTAACAAAACGGGTCATATCAAGCGTTTTTGTCGGGAAAGATTGAATGAAATTAAAAAGCTGGATGAATTACGTAACCGTCGATATGGACACTCCATTAATTTAATTGATATGGAACAAGATGTCGGTGATAATGCTAAACAAAAAAATAATAAACTTATTGATTTTGACCCATATGCTTTTGACCCTAGTGACACAGTAGACTATCCTATTTTGGAACCCCAAACAAAACAGGATGTAATCGCGTATGTTCAAAGCCCACATAGATCCGTAGTCGAATTGACCCCTATTGTCTATCCCACTAATGATTTGACTGAGGAATTTAATCACTTGGATGAACTAAATACTCTCGGCACAGTACTGCCGTTATATGATGGTACTTGTTATGGACAATCCTTACAGGTGTTGATTGACTCAGGTGCAAGCGAAAATTATGTATCCCCCCACATAATTCCGGCAGGTCAAGAACTAATCCCAGTACTCAATCGACGAGTGGAAACCGCTGGTGGCGAAATATCCGAAATTAAGTACAAGATAAACTTAAACGTGAACTTGAATGGTTATACCACCTCTATATTGGCCTATGTTTTCCAACGAAATTCGATCTCATTCTAGGACGCTCGTGGCTTAAAACAAGAAAAACCTATTCCAAATTGGGACACTGATGTCTGGTCCATAAATAATGGAAGTATACAATTAAAACCTAAAGCACATACAAAACATTCGTCACTCACTTCTATATCCGATCTTAGTTATTTAATATCACATAAACAAGCTGACCGATATATGAAGAAAGGGGCGGATAGTTTTTTGCTCTGCATCCGAGACACTGAAAAACCTGACGGCGCATATTCACAAACAACGGATGATGATTACTGGAAAAAGCTGATTCAAGAATTTGATGAAATTTTTAAGACTGATCTGCCTGGATTACCACCAGACCGTGGGATTCAACATATTATTAACACTGGCGATGCAAGACCGATATCAAGACCTCCATTCAAGATGTCTCCATTGGAATTGGACGAGTTAAAAATGCAAATTCAAGAGTTACTCAAATTGGGGTTAATCAAGCCAAGTAGCTCTCCCTGGGGAGCTCCCGTTCTATTCGTTCGAAAAAAGCCTGATCCAGGATCAAAAGAACCGGGTAAATTAAGAATGTGTATTGACTATAGAGCTTTGAATAAACTCACCGTTAGAGATTCGTCGAGTATACCGCGCCCTGATGAATGTTTGGAAAGATTAGCCGGTGCCAAATATTTTACTAGTATCGATCTCAAGTCTGGTTATCATCAGCTTCGAATCGCGGATGAGGATATCGACAAAACAGCTTTCAATACACGCTATGGCAAATTCGCTTTTCTTGTACTCCCCTTTGGTCTATCAAATGCACCACCTACGTTTCAACGATTGATGAATAATGTCCTTGCAGATTGCCTTGATAAATTTGCGTTAGTTTACTTAGACGACATTCTTATCTGGAGTGATACGTTGGAACAACATAAACAACATGTGCGTCATGTATTAGAATTGTTGCGAAAGGAAAAACTTATCGTGAATTTAAAAAAATGCAATTTTGGAAAAAAGGAACTAACTTTTGTGGGTTTTCATATATCAAGCAATGGCGTCAAACCAAGCCCGGAAAAAGTGAAGGTTTTAGAACATTGGCCAAAACTAACTAACGTTCAAGAAGTCAGACAATTCATTGGATTTGCACAGTTTTACAAAAGATTTATTAAAGATTTTGCTTCCATTGCAGCCCCTCTAACTGATCTCACTCGTGGAACTGGTCACAAGAAACGGCCCATTACTTGGAACCCAGAGTGCCAACAAAGCTTCAATACATTAAAAAAGGTGCTTACTTCAAATCCTGTTCTTAAACTCGTTAACATGAACAAACCTTTCAAAATTGAAGTCGATGCGTCCGATCGTGGCTGTGGTGCAGTACTCTACCAACCTGATGATGATTCCGAATTGCCTTGGCATCCAATCTGTTTCGAGTCAAAAAAATTCACGTTAAGTGAATCCCGTATGCCTGCGCAAGAAAAAGAATTGTTGGGTATAATTTATGCTCTAAGGAAATGGCGTTGCTACGTTGATGGTTGTCCTGCTGGCTATACCGTATATTCTGACCATATGCCGCTACAATATTTCCGATCCAAAGAAAATCCTCCCAGTCGACTTGTCAGATGGATCAACGAAATAGAAGCTATGGCTCCAACCATTGTTTACAAAGCTGGAAAAGACAACCAAATTGCTGATGTTCTATCGCGTATGAACTACTCGTCAGAAGAGATGGCTCCTGAAGAAGAATCACTAGAACCTGACATGTTATATGCTGCTTGGGATAAACTACCTCCTCTGGTACGTGCGGACTGGCCATTACTATTTCTATCAAGGGATAAGGTAAAATCAGATGAGATTAACGACGTGTTAAACAAAGAACAAAATAACTTCAGTATTATCTCCAATCGTATTTATAGACATGTTAAACTGCCAAATAACGATCAAGTTCAGGATGTGCCTTATTTACCTTTCGAAGAACGGGCGGATACTCTTGCCAAATATCATGAATCATTAGGTCACGCAGGAATAAAAACCACGTTGTACTACATGCTCTCTCGTTTTTGGTGGCCTGGAATCAAACAAGATATTATTGACTGGTTGAAACTTTGTCCGGCATGCCAACTAAATAGTCGACGAGGTCTAGTTCACAAGGATGTTATGCACCCACTAAAAGTTCCCACCGCATTTGATCGCTGGCATTTGGATTTCTTAGATCTGCCTACGTCCACAAAAGGTAATCGTTGGTTGTTAATTGGTGTTGATTACGCTACAAATTGGTGCGTTGCTCGTGCTATGCCAGTTGCTTCGGCTGAAAACGTTGCTGATTTTTTGTATGAAGAAATTGTCATGAATTTTGGAAACTTCTCTGAGTTGATCACCGACCGTGGATCTAATTTCTGCAGCTTATTAATGAAAGAGTACCAAAAGCGTGTTGGTATTAACCACAAACTTACCAGTGCTTATCACCCCCGCACGAACTCCAAGGTTGAACGGTTTAACGGCGTCATAAAACAAATGCTTCGAAAGTACACTAACGGTGCCATTCATCGTTGGGATGATTTCGTCCATGCTGCCCTTTGGGCCTGTCGTATTCGCGTACATTCTACCACGGGATTCAGCCCTTACTATTTAACCTACGGCCGACAACCTCGCATACCTGGTGATGTCATGCGTCCTTACATTGACTCATCGGTTTTTAAAGATCCTCGAACTGTAGCCGATTTTACCTCACGTGAATTGGCGTCCTTAGGTCAAGACCGTGCTGCTGCAGAGTTTAGAATGAAAGCCATGGCTGAAAAGGACAAGACTCGCTGGGATGCTGCCATCAAGCCTGTATCTTTTGAAATTGGTGACATGGTAATGCTAACAAATGAAGGCAAGTATGGACTGGAACCGACTTTTAAAGGTCCCTACATGGTGGTGAAAAATTTCCCTGACTTTGGAACGTACAAGTTGGAAACAATCGCGGGTGAACCGTTGAAATCACTCGTTCACGTTGATCGCTTAAAAGCTGCTAATG